CCCCGGGGGCGCTAGGGGCCAGGACCTGATCCTGACACCTTCCCCCTCCCCAACCCCCTCTCCAGCCGCGCACCTGCCGGAGCCTGGGCAGGACCCCCCCTTCCTGGGCCGGCGTCGATGCTGAGCGGGCCGGGGGGACTCCCCACCTCCCCTGCACCATGGACGGCTTCTACGACCAGCAGGTTCCCTTCATGGGCCCCGGGGTAAGTTTGCCCTGTGCATCTCCCCCTGCCCCATCCACCCTGTCCATGGGGGCATCCATTCTCCTGTCCTTGGGGGCTGCCACCCTCACGGGCTGTTGTCACCCTGGTCGTTGCAGAAGTCCTGCGCAGAGGAGGGCCGAGGCCGGCTGGGATCTGATAGGAAAAGGAAATTTTTGGAGACTGACCTGGCCCACGACTCGGAAGGTAGGCAGGGCTGGCCTGGGCAGCCGTGGCCTTGCTGCGGTCCTGCGAGGCCGCTCTCCTCACATTCGTCAGTTTAGAAATAATCCTGTGAATAATGGCAGTTTTATTTATTCTTCTATGGAGCGCATAAGTCTTTCACTCTGTTCCAGAGCTCTTCCAGGATCTCAGCCAGCTCCAAGAGGCCTGGCTAGCTGAAGGCAAGTCTTCACCTCCTCCTTTTGCCATGTAAAATCTCCCTGTGAAGATTTTTTTTGAGAACTGAAAACGCCATAAACCCGGTTTTTTTTTTTGTTGTTGTTTTTTTTAGCTCAGGTCCCTGATGATGAACAGTTTGTCCCAGATTTCCAATCTGAAAGCTGTAAGTGGTTGTTCTGGGGGTTTTATTCTCTGGGGGGAAATGTTTGGGTGCCTTTGCAAAGCCTCACACTGGGTTTGGAGCTGCTTCCTTGGGAAAGCAGTTGTTGGGGCTGAAACTGTGAAATCACAGACTTGGGAGAAAGCACGTGTGGTTTGGGTTCATCAAGATGAAACTTGCAATGTCCCATCCCTTTTAAATAGGGAAAAACTACAGCCAAATGCATGAAAATATCTCTAACTGATTTCTAGGCTCCTCTGAGACTCGCTGCTTGTTCATAGTAATGTTGATTTGCTTATAAACTCTTCTTTTCCTTTTCAAGTGGAAGCACGAGCCTGTGCTGGGCTCGTTGGTTAGCCACAATTTCTTCAGTTTCTGGAGCTTTTTAACAGTCCTGGCCCAGCGCTGTTGGCAAGAGTGGACCTGAGCGGTGAAACTTGAGCTGCTTTAAGCAGCATTAATCACTGGCAAGTGAGCATGTTTAAAAGGAGGCCAGTGAAAATGCAGTTCCTCTTGAATTGCATAAGAGTGAGAGTTGGTTCTGAGCTGTGGTTTGTTGCTGAAATGGGTTAGCGGCAGGGGCAGGAGCTGGTTAATGGTGTGTGGTACTTTGCGGTTCTCGGGCACTGGCTTTTCTAGGGATGAAGGCTCAGTTGGAGGTCAAGGGGGAATCGGGATGTTTTGTGTCGTTACCTCGCAAACAGAACTAGTGGTGTGGTGTTGGTGGCTGGGTTTTGCTGCTGAGCCAGACAGCTACACAATTTAAAGGAAATCAAATTTAGCCTGCAGTCGAACAGATTTTTTCATTCCAGCTTTGTCACAGCATGCAGCAGGGTATCTTCTCCTACAGTAAAGCACACGTTAATTATTGCTCTTTGATTACTTCTGAGTGGGAAGCTTGCCATTAAATTGTTCCAGACAGCCCAAGTTTCAGATGCGTTTTTTCCCTTGTCTCCCCTGAGATAAAAGGCGAGCCCAGAGTCAGAATCGCAACTGGCTGTTGACATCCTAGCGCAGCCTGGCAGCTCTTGCTTGGAGCGGTAGAAACCGCAGCGAGCGTGGGAGGGTGGCTCTTGGAGCTGAAGCTGTTTCCAGTGCCTTTTGGCAGTCTCTTGTTTCCTTGTAACCTGAAGAGCTCAGAAAGGACGGACAAACTTTTCTGGGTGATGTGGGGAAAGGAAAGAAAGAAACAAAAGGGGACATTTGGTTGAGACTCATAATGTTCTCCCAACCTGCTCAGCCTCTGCAGACCTGGCATTGAAATGACTTTTGTCACTTGAAAAGAGATCTCCCTATGTGATTCCCTACTATAATAGCCTTCTCTAACTGTCCCGGGCAGAGAAAGCAAGGGTTTCCTCGGCTGTGCTGGCTGCGGGTGCTCAGTCCAGCCAGTCCAGTGGAGGGGAAACAGGCAGCCTGGCTCTTCCATACCAGCACTAGAGAGAGTTTGAAGAGGAGAGAGTCTCTAGCTTACTGCTTTCTGGCTCCATGTTCTCATTTCATTATGGATTTGAACTGTGTGTAGTGTAGGAAGAAAAAGAGAGATGAATTTGATGCAGCCTCCCCCATGTATCCAGCTTTTGCTAAAGGGGATATGCTGCTTTTCCAGGCTGGGGGTCACATTGGGTTCAGTGCCCATTGGCCCCCCCGAGGGAAGGCAAGTCCTTAGTTCCTATGGATTTTTGCAGGCATGCATTAAACTCCATTCCTGCAGTTGTGCAGCTCTGTACCTTTTCCCTGAGGAAGTTGCTGCTCTCTTGTCCTGAACAAACTAGCTCTGTCACCTGCCCCATGGCCCTGGCATTCCCAGGGCCAAGCTTCCTCTGCACAGTAGCAAAGAGGGACAAGCCAGGCTCAGTTTGATGCTGTTGGTGTGGGGAACACTGCCGCATGTGCCATGTTGAGTCTCGGGGATGCTCCAGACTGCAGCATCGTTCCCACCTTGCTAAGGAACCCCTCATGGCACAGCAACTGCCTGCAGCTTGGCTGCTGCCAGCTCACTGCTCCTGACTGTGTAGCTGAGGCCCCTGGCATACATGGGCTTAAGGTTGGGGTTTGGCAGCGAAGTGCCGTAACACGCTGGAGGGCAGCAGGTTGCAGCTCTAGGGAGGAAATCCTGCCGGAGGGCTGGGAAAAATAGGGCTTCTCTGAATAAGGGATGCGCTGTTCTCGGCACCCTGGACTGAGCAGCAAGAGGCTGGATTTGGTGCTTATCAGCTACCCAGAGCAGTGGCAGATCCCCCTGGAAGGGTGAGGAGATAGTGAGTGACTCTGGCGTAGGCTCTCCAGTGGTACAGTCTGGGGAGAAGAGTGTACGTACAATGTTGTATCTTGACCGGTTCTTTAAGTAACTGGGAAGCAATGGGGTCAAGCTGAGGGGATCAGCACCACCACAGGAGGCTTCGGCATTTGCAAGGCTTGCTCCCAGAGAACTTGTGGCTCCCTGCATGGGCAGCATGTGGTTAAAGCCATGGCAGGGCACGGAGTGGAGTTTCTTACACACCAAAATGAAAGCAGGAGGCTTGTTTCTGAGGAAGAGTTGTTTAAACAAAGGAAAGCAGGAACCTGGCTTCTATTTCTGGCTCCTCTCCTGGTGTGACCTTGGGTGCGTCCTGTAACACTGGGGGATGGAGGGGCAGATGTGGAGCACAGCTTCCAGGTGACGGCTTGAGTGGGTGCCAAGGTCCACAGCTGGTGGCCGGGCTGGAAGTGGTTTGGTTGTCTTCCCTGTGGCTTGAGCAGTGAGTGCCACCAGCAGAGCCAACATCCTCCATGCTTGGCTTCTTAGAGGTGTCATCATACTGAAGGTTGGGGAGCAACCTGCCCTGTCCCCCATCAAGGGCTTCACCAGCAGTTCGAGGTCCTGAATGGCTTTGGGATGTCACCTTTCACATGGCAGATCTCTTGGCTGAAGGTTGATGTTTGGGGCAACTCCAGCGTGGCTGGTGGTGCGGCACTGCTGGCTATGTCTGAGCCCCCCACCTTCCCCTCCTGGTTGGGGTGCCTTGTCAGCCAGGCACAGCAGTGGCACGTGTGTCCAGTCCCCTTGCCTGGCCTCCATGGTGTCCTTCCCTCCCCAGGGGCTAAAGCAGCCTAGAGAGGGGTTGTCAGACACCCACGGGTGCTTTCTCTGCTCCCATGGCTCAGTCCTGACACGGGTGTGCTCAGGTGCGTTCTGCAGCCCCATCTGTAGTTAAGCTTCTCCCTCTGCCTATTTTTATATACTTTTTTAGCTTTTAATTATAGTCCCAGCACAGAACCGGAAAAGTTGAAAGTGCTTGTGCACCCAGTGTGCCTTTGAGGCACTGGGGCAGGGCACCTCCTTCCCTGGGAACCCTCCTGCCCCCTTCCCAGCTCCCTGCCTGGCCACTTGCCTCTGGGGACCTAAACGCAGCTCCTTCCTCCCCCGAGAGCTGCACCCCGGGTCTCGGTGCCCCTCTCTGCTCCTGGGTGCTCGGCATTGCCGCACCTGCTGCGGTGGACTGGTCTCATGTCTTGCACTGTGTCTATAGAACCACCTGAAGGCCCTTAGACTGTTAGTGTGATGAGAGAATGGATTGCGATGGAAAAAATAAGTATCAAAATCACTGTTCAAATCACTTTGAGTGAAACTGCTAACTGCTTTTGGGTGTACCATAAGAAAGGCATTTTCCTGTGCGTGACAGCAGAAATGCCACTTAAAGGGGATTCTGCTCTTTATTGCGGACGGCATAAACCAGATTTAAATATTTGCTCCTTCTATATATTTCTATTACTTATTTCCTATTACTTTTTTTTTTTTTTTTTTTTTTTTTCCCTTTCCCGGCCACATGAATGGAGCGCTCCAAATTGTTTATGAATGGAGGGTGGTGCCTGCTCAGAGCTGCCTTTTTTTTTTTTCCTTCTTTTTTTTTTTTTTTTTTCAATGAATAACCAGGCCCCATTGTACGCCTGGTGGAAAAACAACCCGCTCCAACAACACGGAGCCTGTTAGGGAGAAACATGCCTGCGATAGGCAGCTGGAGCCCTTCCAAAGCCAGTTCCCCTTCGCTTTCCCGCGGGGCGCCCGGTCTTTACTGCCGCCACGCTGGCCTCCTGTTAAGACTAGAAATGCTGAGAGTGGCAAAACCTCACTGGGGAGGGGGGATAAATCCGGCTTGGGAGCGGGTGGGGGACTGTGCTGGCTCAGAGCTGGGCTTTGTATTTCAAATCCTCCTTGGGGAGGGTGGGGGTTATGCCCTTGGTACCAGCTGTGCCAGGCCCATGCAGGAGGGAGGGGGAAGGAGGGGTAGAGAGAGGAGTCAGCAGCTCTTTACAGGTTTTGACAAATTAGGGGAGCAGCTAATGACCTGGCAAGCTGTGAACAGTTGTCCTGAAGCTATTCGTTCCTCCCCACTGTAGCTGGGCTGTGTTTAGACTTTGCATTAAGCTAATACGCCACTTCCGATTATTCTTGGCTCTCTGCTGCAGGCGCTATTTAGGTAAAGATCTCTGAGGCGCTTTCCCTTTCCTAGAGCGCCTGCTTTTAGAAATGAAGTAGGTTAAGCATATATTACTTGGTTTAAAATTATATATAGTGAGTGGGCTTGGGAGGGGGCTGGGAAGGATTTGGGGTTAATGGGATGTTTGCCACTTGAACTCATACAGTTGTGGGACCCCTTGGAGCATCTTGGCTGGAGGAATGTGGATCCCATTAAGCTGCTCGCCAACTCTCTGGCCAGCTCACTGGGAGGTCACTGTCCTGCTTACACGATGTCCTGGGATGGTGGGACTGTCCAAGCTCTGCCCTTCCCTGCAGAAGTCAGGCCCTGCCACCCCGGCTCAGTCTACTAGCAGGTCATGGTCTGCTAGGGCACCATCCTGCCATAGTTTGGTTGCCTAATGCTCCCAGGGGGGTAATCCACACCTGATTCATGAGCAAAAAGACCCCAGCAGATGCTTCTCAGGGGTAATGACCCCCATCACCTTCTGCCATGTGAGTGGGTAGAATCATGGCAGTATTGTACCATGGAATGGTTAGGGTTGGAAAGGACCTTAAAGCTCATCCAGTTCCAACCCCCT